GACACAGAGAGAGAGAGTGAGAGAGAGCGAGAGCGAGAGCGAGAGCGAGAGCGAGAGAGAGCGAGAGAGAGAGAGAGAGAGAACAGCAGGACAAACTACTCCACATCCTTATCATAAAGTTGACATAAACAGCATGAAAAAAAAGTGGACATAAACCAGCATCTTGCCGTATGCCTTTGGACACAGATAGAATGCTTGGGCAGCATGACAGTCCACTTTAATATGCCAATGAGCAGGAGAAAATAAACACTCGATTCAAGCATGTGACTGAATGGTGCAAACCGTCATGTAACTGTTGATAAACGGACCTAAGTTCGACTCCAGATGGATTCAGATGAGTAAAATTATAACTCTGAATTACCTAGGGCTGGTCAGTCAGATGATGATACCTCAAACCCGTCGCCATTCTAAAAAGAACAAAAAGAAAGGGGCAGTAGTAAACACACGATTCAGGCATTCAAAATAAGATCGAAAAACTTTTGCCACGTCTGCTCAATATGTGGCCGACAAGATAACGATCATAACAATCTCCTGATTACTGTCATCCCCCGAATAGAACGTACGCTGTATGGTAATTATCCCGGTATCTAGACTGAGACTTGCCCAAAATACACCTATAAGGAGGTACGTTCTGTTTGAGCGAAGATGGTCGCATGATGCATTGCTGGGGTTCGCTACTTGCAAAGTAACACTGCAGCCAATTAAAGGTGTGTCTATTGTACCATAGAGTCTATGTTGCACAGGCCATTGGTGGCTTTCACTTTCATGCTACACGTTCCCTTGTTTTTTTCAGGGAACTATAGCCAAGTAGCCAATCGACTCCACTGGACTACATAGACTATTTGACTCCCTTTGCTTTGTCTTCCTTCCATCCTTCTCCCCCTTTTTTTTTCACAGCGTGCAACTGGGCCGTTCTGGCACATGGAGATGTGGTCAGCTTGGAGTCAACTACATTAACATGGCAAGCCTCCTGCGCGGAGGCATAAAGCGGGAGCTGAAAGAAGAAATAAAAGAAAAACGACGAAAAAGCCAAAGTAAGGAACAAAATGAAAGAACGAACATGGCAAAAGGCAAAAGATCGCGGTTTCAGAGGGCTTCCTGTTCTCCGCTATTTTTTTTGTTCGTTTCGCAAAATGCACTAGTTGATACCCCTCGTTTGTTGTCCCCTTCTCCCTCTCTGCCTACGGTTTACCGGGCAGCTCTGTTTGACGATATATGAGTCAACATGACAATAATTATTGAAGAATACAATATACGAGTTTGCGCTGGAGCTGCCGCCTTCTCCCCATGGCAGTATAGTCAGTATAATAATGGCCATCGCCAATATAATGGTCATAGTCAATCTATCGAAGTGATAATTATAGCCAATGTGATGGGTATAGCTGCCCGTTGAACCATGGGCAGAAGGGAGAAAGGACGAAAAAAGGGGGCCTGTGACAGACTGTGTGGTCAGAGTTTAACCCACTGATCAGGAGGCTTCACCCCCTACAGCCTGCAGAGTGGTTAAGCATCAACAACTGCCCGGCAACAGATACCCTGAGGTGGGCACCAACCACTGCGGTCAAGGGTACCTGCAAAGGAAATATCAAGAAGACCAGTCATTCTATTCGCGTGAAGACCGTAGCTCGCAACATTTGTTGTACCAACTACTACCAAGGAACATTCGCCGTACCAAGTTACACGAGCACAGTACATCCATTGCACTTTGGAACATTAGTTGTTCCAAGTCACGGGAGAACAGGACGCTCATCGGTACCAAGGAACATTGATAATCTTCTCTTTATGGGTAGTAGTAGAGAAGTACCCGCCTTGTGTGCAGGGCTTGCTTCAAGCCGTGTGCGCTAAATGCTGTGGCTGAGGGAGAGCGGCAAAGAGCTCTCAATTCTAATACTGGAACTAAGTTTTCGTTACAGTCCGGATCATGCTTTGGCCCCTCATCTCGTCCTGACTTCGATTCTGGCTTTGATCCTTACTTGACCTCGAACAGCTCCTGAATCAATCGGTTGACCTTTGATTTTCCCCTATAGCTTGAACCTCGCTTGGTTTGGAAGTGATCACTGTGATCGCGTAACCTTTGGTTTGACCCTGACTTGATCACTTGACCTTTGGTTTGACCCTGACTTGATCACTTGACCTTTGATTTCCCCCTATAGCTTAAACCTCAACTGGTTATGCCGTGTCCCATGATTCTTTGACCCTTGGTTTGACCCTGAGTTAATCACTTGACCTTTGATTTCCCCCTGTAGCTTTAAACCTCACTTGGTTATGCCTTGATTCTGCCCCGGTCGCTTAATTCTGAGTCAAATCTAAATTAATTCTGAGCTGATTCTGAGCTGATTCTGAGATGATTCTGAGATGATTCTGAGTTGGGTTGATTTTGAGTTTCTCAGCTCATGCCTCGGTTGATTCATCAACTGGTAATCAAGCTTAGAGTCTGAAGCAATTCTTCCCCAACAACCTTAGCAATTCCGGTGCACTGATTCCCCCAAGCAAAAAAAGGAGTAGGTGCCGTAGAATCGCTAACAGCCTATGCATTTCGAAGTCAACCTTAGAGCACCGGAATGCTGTCACTGCTAGAGAAATTATTTACAGTTCTCAATCGCATTCTTGCTTTTCTGAAACTTTTCTTTTCCCCTTTACGCTGTAGATGTAGACGTACATGTGCATGTACATGTACATGTAGTAGATTTAGATCTAGTTCAGATGTAGAAGATGTGGACGTAGTCGATGTAGATCTAGATTCTGATGTAGAAGATGTGGACGTAGATCTACATCTACATACAAAATCTTTTTGAAGGAGGAAGTCCTTTTCCTTTTTTTTTAAGTAGATAAGAAACTCCATTACAAAGGTACAAACATCTCCTTTGATTGATTAGGAGCAAGGATAAGTGTCAGGACAAGCGTACGGACAAATGTCAGGATAAATGTGAGAATAAGCGCAAGGATAAATGTCACAACTAAATTTCAGAATCAGTATCAGGATAAGTGTTATGATAACTATCAAATAATATCAGGAAGTATCAGGAAGTATCAGTAGTTTTAGAATAATCTCAGGAAATATCAGGAAATATCAGGAAATATCAGGAAATATCAGGAAATATCAGAGTAAGTGTCAGAGGATAAATGGGAGGATAGGCGTAAGGAGAATTTTGACGTCAGGATAAGTGTCTGGATAAGGATGGAAAGGGTTCAACCTTAAAAACAGTAGGTCGTCCAGCTGGTCATTTGCAGTCGTCTGCCAGGTTGGTCTGGCCAAATATGCCCTTGCTTACCGGGTTGAATTATGCGGTCCCCGGCCTCATTACGTAATGAAATTGTGACTTTTACACACACACACACAAAAAAAAAAAAAACAGTAGGTGGGCCCTTCGCGGCATCAGGGCGAATAGCAGCGACACAGAAAAGATTCGCACGGCCCCCTGCTCAAGGATGACACGCACAATCGAAAATCATCTATAAGAATATAACAAACAAAAATAGAAAAAGAGTAAGTGTAAGAAAATGTAAGCATAGCTATTCCGCGTGACATCCAATGCGCCCTGCAGAAGGAAGGAGGGGAAGGGTGCTCAGATAATACCGAGAATAAATGGGGGACGAAAATCATTACCCAGACCTGGAGGGAGGGAGGGAGGGAGGGAGACTTCAATGATGGACAGCCGCCAGTTCAGAGAACAAAAGATGACGATGATTGGAGAGACAGAGGGAAAAGAAAAAGAAAAAAAAAAAGCATCATGCTGCGGGCGGAGGTAACAACGATGGAGAGCAGCGTAGAAGGATAGGTCGTTTTTCTGGTTTTTTTTTTCGGAGGGCGGGGGGGGGATGATCACGGATCAGATATTAAAATGACAGATCGAGACGTTTTTTTATTTTATTTTTTCCCCCGTCTCAAATCTCTGATGTATCCAGTTTTTTATCAGAATAAGATTCTTTCTCCTTTTCTTTTTCTTTCTCTTTTCCTTTTTTTAATATAAGAAAAACTGATATTATGATGCTCATATTTTTCACTTTTTTAACACAAACAGGAGAAATGGAAAACCAAAGTAACCGAGAGTTGAAAAACTAATTAGACTAGATTCCCAATCTAAATTCGATAAAATAATTCCACACATTTCGATTAACTCCTTAAACGAGATTAGATAAACTAATCCCTTGATTAGTCCGAAGGTAGGGAGGTCCCCAAGTAACTCGATTAAAGAGAAGGGGAGCCTCGAAAGAGCAAAAATCAACAGCAAAAACAGGAAAAAAAAAAAAAAACGAGCTAATTAATTTGATCAGACCGAAGGATTGCCCCGAAACAAATAAGAATTAAAAAAAACAGACCGAACTAGTCAACCAGCCACGGTAAAAAGAAAAAGGGAACAAAAAAGGCAATGCATTCGTTGGGATCAGCTTAAAACACAATTCAAAAAGAAAGTGCACCAGAATAGGGAGGAGGACCCAACCCCGCCCCCCCCCCACCCCACCCCCCACCACCCCCACCCCCACCCCCCCGAAACAAAAGGGTTCGATTAACATCCTTTCTTGAGCTCTTTAGCTTTCTCTTGGGTGGTATCGTACGACACAGGAAAGAATGCTGATTAATAGGCAAAAACCTGGTCCGATTTTCTGACCAGATTCATTCATATGTTTTCATAGCACCACCCGCGCCTGCCGCTGATGCTCATGTTTCTGGCACTTCACTTAAGTCCGAATTATTTTTCAATTAGACGATTTCAAGAGTGGCGTCTCTTTAATAAAATACTCGAGAGTAGTAGAAGGGCATACAAGCAAACAATCCCTGCGAAGATCAAGAAGAGTGGATGTCATCTCCTTCCTCGACAGTGGAGCGAAAGAGCGAAGCCAGGAGAAGAAATCGGAGAAGAAAACGGAGAAGGAAACGGACAAGATAACGGACAAGACAAGATAAAGGAGACGGTGAAGAAGATAACAGGAGGCGGGGGGAAACAACCCACAAAATGACGAACGGGGAAAAGCGTGCGTGATTTATCCCTGAGGCAACCGCGAGCGGGAAAGGCTGAAGAAGACGACGCATGATGGGCAATGGTCGAAAGAGCAAGACGAGAAGGACGAAGAGGAGATCGACGGCACGAAGAAGCAGAAGAGGAGGTGGAGGAGGAGGAGGAGGAGGAGGAGGAGGAGGAGGAGGAAAAGGATGAAGAAGAAGAGGAGGAGGTGGCAGTGGATGCGGGATGGAAAATCGGTGGACAAGAGACGAGAGGGGCGAGGAGATCAAGGAGACGAAAGAGGAGAAGAGGGGGGGAGAAGGAGGAGGAGGAGGAGGTCGTGGAGGCGACAATGAGCGGAGAAGGGGAAGCAGCGAAATGAGCCAACCAATGAATGCGCCAACCAATGAATGATCCAACCAAGAAAATCATAA